CACCCCAGTGTCTGACTGACCACAGCCCTGCTGGGCACCCCAGTGTCTGACTGACCACAGCCCTGCTGGGCACCCCAGTGTCTGACTGACCACAGCCTGGCTGGTCAACCCACTGTCTGACTGACCACAGCCTGGCTGGGCACCCCAGTGTCTGACTGAGCACAGCCTGCCTGCCCTGTGGTGTGACTGACCCACAGCCTGACTGGTCACCTCACGTGCCAGGTCCACAGGCTGGGCAGCGCCAGGAAGCGCAGCCCTGGCACAGCCAGCTCCTCTCCCACACAGGAAGGATGGTGGTGGTGGGAGGGTCCCCTGTGACCTGCAGGGACATCTCACCATGACAGTTTTGCCAAATAACCTGATCTGCCACTGTCTGCTCTGTCACTTCCCTCATTGCTCCAAGGTGCTGAGATGCCTCTCAAGCTGCTGGCTCTGTGACACCGTGTAAATGTGGGCACTGGGAAGGGGCGAGGGGAGGACACAACTGCTGCACAGAGTCGTCGTGGCAGCTAAAATTGTCTGACCTACAGCCAGAGCAGTTGCAGGGTTTAGGGCTGAATCTTCTGCTGATTTTCAGAAGGAATGTTCCCTGCCCCAAGGCCTAACATTTACATTCTCCAGAATCTCATCCCACCTGACAGCTGTACGCTGTGAGAGCGTGTGGCACCTGAAGTGAGTGTAAGGCATTCCAGCTAACGTGTGCAGTTCTATTAACTGAGTACCTGGAAACCAAACACAATACAGGTAAAGCGGCTGAGAGAGCAGCAAATAAAGAAAATGTGCCAGATCATAGTGTTTTCAGGCAGCAAGAGTGAAGAGATTCCAGCCTGAAAAGGATCTGAATCATTGGACAGTGTGCAGTGACTGTGTGTGTCAGTGCTGAAGCATGTCATAGTAGCCACTTGTGTATGTGTTAAAAGAAGTCAGGAAAGTGTTTCTCTTCTGTAAAAGCACCTGGGAAGAGTAGTCTGGTATGTTGTGACCAGTTTTGGTCTCTGCCTTTTAAAAGCTGGGCACAAAGCTGACTGAAAATGGAAGGAGGCTGCAGCAGCTGTTACCTGCATTCATCGTGGCCCAGTTCATTCTCCATTGCAAACTCCAGACTGAGTGACAGAGCAGCTCTCCAGGGATGCTCTGGGGTCCCTGGTGCTGTGCCTCTGCTCATGAACACTTGGGTACCCACCCAGCTGGGAAGGTGCAGCTGTCACCGCGCTGGGATGATGGAGTTGTTTGGGCCACCAAACTCAAGGTGGGTTTTACCTGCAGATTAAAATACCTGCCTAAAGGCTGTGGGAGGGACCTTTCCCTCTCTCCTCTAATGAAGCAGTTTGGCTGGCAGGAGTCTCTAAGGCAGCCACAGCCTTGGGCAAGGCTCCCAGAAAGGCCTCCTGACAGCGGGAGAGGGAGAAACAAGCCTCTTCTCCCTGCAGGATTTGAGCACCTGCGCTTTTAAGATTTGGAGACTCTGCCTTAATGTAGAACAACCAAGGTGCTGGCTGTGCTGGGGCTGCTCCATCAGGAACCTCTGCTGTGGGCAGTCAGGATTTTTCAGAGGAGGGAGAGGAGCAGAACTGTAGTCTGGGGGCTGAGGCTCTTGCTGGAGCAGGAGGCGAATCCTGTGCTGTGCCCTTGTTAAATGTGTCAGATGCACGTTTGACATGAAAACTGCTGCTTCCCTCCTGCCCTTCCTGTTTCTTAGTCCTCAGCCCCGTGACTCAACAGGTTCATCAAGGAGATGAACCTCAAAAGGCAGGAGAGCTTCGCTTGGGTTCTGCACAGGCACAGCAAAATGGTGGGATCATGTCACTAATTTCACACTTTCACTTGGATTGTTGTCTGTTGGGGAACATGTTTTGACCTGTAATGCCCCAGTTATAGTCTGTGTTACTTAAATATAACATGTGCTGCACAAGCTTCATTTTGAAGGCACCGCTGTGCAGAACAGGTTGTGGAAATCACCTTGGCTAACGCTGAGTAAATGACCTTCAAAAAATAGTACGTGTGTGCTGATACTGGGGAGTAGTGGGTGGCACTGGGACGGAGCTGGGGGGTGGTGGCAGCTTTCCCAGTTAGTAGAACACCTCTGGATGGGTGGGAGACCTTGGGTCAAAGGCCTTCACATCAGAATGGCAGCAATTTGAATCCACCTCAGTGCAGCACTGCTCAGTGCTGAGTGCTGGGAGCTCCTGCTGCCCTTTGGTGGGAGAGGGGAGGTGAGTCCTCCATGGAATCCAGGTGTGCTTCCTGCTGACTCCTGAATATAGAATAGGAGTGCACAGAGTGTGGAAATGCTAAGAAGAAATGAACAGTCTGATGGGAATTCTTGAGACGAAGCTTTTGTGCCGTGAGATCTTGGGATCTTTTCAGCCTCCTGTGGAGCTTTGGGGGATAAATGTCCTGGTCAGCAGACATGGGGGAAGAGCTGCTGCTCCTGCACTGGACACACCACCAGGCTGGGGAGCTGCTGAAGTGCTGTGCTGTTCCTGTGTCAGCGAGAGCTAATAAAAATTCAGAGAGACTTACAAATAAACATCATCTTTTCACTGCTTTTTATCCAGCATGTTGAAACACTGTTTTCCAGTTACCTGCAGTAACTCCTAGAAAAAGAAGGATAGACAACCCTCAGGCACAGGAAGCACTTACATAAAGACCTGGACAGGCTCATCTCTTGCAGCCCATTTTTCTCTATCAGCACCAAGACAGAGCAGAAACCCTTATTTCCACATGCAAGTCACTTTAAATTAATTTGAAAATGGGTTCTTCTATTTAATGGCTGCATAGACTTGACTCCTAAGACCACTCTATGTTGAGCTGTAGCAGTGCCACGACAGGGAACAGTAATAAACCTGTGCCCCTTGGGGAGGGGGAACAAATAATAACAACTTTGTCTAATTGCTTCCCAGTGTGGATTTAAGGCGTGCCTGTTTGTATGGGTCAGGTGTTTATATTGCATAAATGTGTTTAGTATGGTTAAAAGCAGACCTTGCTCTACTCTGGCTCTGGTATTGAGATGAGTTCACAGCCCCAGAGCTGTGGTCTGGGCTTGGCTGACAGTGGCACCCTGTGTAGCTTCACCCCTCTGCTCCTGTTCCCACCCAAGCCTCTTCCTCGAGCAGCTGCTGAACCCTTTGCATGTTCAGTTTGATAACATAGGCTAAAGCTTCTTTTCTTGGGCTGGTGGGCTGACCCATGGGAATTTGAGCTTTGCAGCCTGTGAGATAATCCAGAGGCAGTGGTAGGATGAAGGTCTTCCCCCTTTCAGCAGCCAGAGGCTGTGAGATCATCTGAGCTGTCCTGGGGACCTGCCACAAGTCACGCCTTGCACAGACTCACAATCACACTCTTCCCTAAATTAAGTGCATTTCACTGATCAGGTAAGTGGTGCTTGGAGCAGGGACTGGAATTCAATGCTCCCTCTTTCCCCAGCTCTGCAAGTCAGCAAAAGGCCTTGGTGTCTGGGCCTGCCAACACCTGAGGTCTCTCCTTGATTCCTCACCTCTTGCTGAGGAAATCTGTGGCAGAGCAGTGATGACAATATGGATTTTGAAGCAGTAGCTTGATAGACTTTGCTGTTTTGCCTCCCTGCTGTGTTCCAGGGCTCTTTCATCCAGCTGGTCCACATAGAGGCAGCCAGGAGGGGTTAAAGTGTGATTGTTGCAACACCTGCACTCACTCTGTGGAACCTGCTGCCTGCAGGTACAGAGGGGAGGGGCTCAGCAGAGTTCAGAGAAGAGCTGTGAGCTGATGAAAGCAGGGCCAGCTTGGCCAGGAGGGGTGGTTGTGGTGGTCCCTGTCCTGCACAGCTCACCTTGCTGCTTTCCCTAAAACCTCTGTGTGAACAGGGGCCGCCCCATCAGCACAGGCAGCGCTGCAGGGGGAGTGTTTGGGGCAACAGGGATCTCTGAAATGTATTATGAATTTCTCTGAAGGTCATTTTATGTGTCTGACATTACAGGAACAAAAGTAAGAGGAAAGGAAACAATGGAGAGGAAATAGCTTCAGGGTCCTTGGACAACTGGTGCAGGGAAAGCTTCCCTGCCTCCTGCAGAGTCAGGTTAATACAGGCCAAACTCTAGAATCAAAGAAACACTAAACCACCAAGTATTTTGCCAAAAACCACCAAGTATTTCACAGCTGCTTGGGGACATGGAAGGAAACCACAGCAGATGAGTGGAACTTGCCATAAAAGTGCAGAGAGTACACGAGGGCTTTGATAAAAGCCAGCTTTGTTCTCCTTTCAACCAACACTTTTATGCATTTCAGCATAAATACTTGTGTGCTGAGTTGTGAGGCAGCCAGGTCTGTACAGGGCAGCTTTGGTACGAGCACAGCAGGGCCCCTCAGTGCCGGGGAGGGGAGGGAAGGGGGAGATGGCAGCCCAGCAATCCAGGTGAGAGTTGCTGAGCTGTGGGGCTGTGCCCCTGGGTGGGGGAGAGAAGCCAGTTTTTGCAGGAGTGTTGGATTGTGCTTTGGAGTGAGTGAACCAGCGTCTGAAAACGACCTTACTGTGCACAGTAAAATCAAGTGCTTCGCTCCCCACGTGCAATCCCTGAGGAAGAGTGATCAGGTTCTGGGGTTGCTGACATAACACTTCCATGTTCTGAGAGAGGGAAACAGTTCTGGAAAAAACATTTCTTGCATTTTTCCTAAAACCGAATCCAGCGTGGCACAGTCCAACCCAGCGGTTGCTGCAATTCGACTTTTGAAGTCCTGCACATCCAACAGTGGGAGAGCTACAGGGGTGCAAACAGCCTGTGGCAAAGGATCTGTCCCTTCAGCATCACAGGGCCACTTCCTGCGGGCTTCAGTTTTGGTTTTGGTTCAGACATGAACTATCCAGATACAGCTTCTGCCTGGAGCAAGACACAGTTGCCCTTCCCTCCGTGGCACAGTTCTATCAGTCATGGGCTGGAGGGCACAGCCCTGGGCAGGTTGGTAGCCCAGAAATGCAGTTGGGCCTGGCATGGGGCATGTGCTGCCCA